TGCATCACACACAGCAAAATTCGGGTAAACTGTTCTTAGAGGGCATTGGAATGTCCCTTTTATCTCTGTAGCATCTGGCCCAGAGCCAGTCAAAAAACATGAATTCCTAAAATCTGTAGATAAAAATAATACATTTATGAAAACATCTCCAGGCTCTGGCTGGGTGGCACAGTGGTTGGAGTGTCGTCCTGTGCACCCGAGGTTCCGGGTTCTAACCCCAGTAGCACATATGCCTAGGTTGTGGCTGGGTCCCTGGTTGGGCTGGGGCACGTACTGGAGGAAACTGACAGATGTTGCTCGAATGACTGTTTCTATCTTCCGCTGTCTCTAAAAAAATAAGTTGTGAGGCAGGAGAGAGGAAGGAGGAAAGTCCAGAGGTGCCCCAGGGCTAAGATAAAGGACATCCTTACAGGACAGAGACCCTGTTCTAAGACTGGTTGTTCCCGCTTTCTGGAAAAGCGCCGAATCATGCTGAGTCATGAATGCACCTGCGCAGAAGATGCTACATGACCCCTGCTTCGTTATAATAGCATCATAATAAATTAACACTGTGTGACCCCCTTCCCAAGGAAGATCATGGGAGACCACATGTGCAGTAGTTTTAAAGTAATAACAACCACTTGTACATGCACAAGAAGAGCCTACTGAAACTAGCCAGGAAATATCCACTCTGTAAGAATAGAATCCCTCCAGCTCCCGAGGTCAGTCTCAGCTCGGAGTTGGCCTGCTCTCATGCTCTGTGGAGTGCTTAGTAAGTGCTTACTCACTATCGCTTAGTAAGTCTGCTCTCTCTCTCTCTCTCTGCTATAAACTCTCTGTGGGTTCGGTTCAACTCTTTGTCCATGATCACCAAAAACCTGGTTGCCTGTGCCCACCTATGACGCTTGTGTGAGTAGTAAAAAAGAAATCTTCAGAGTGTCCTAGAAAGGCACATCCACCATGTACAGTATCCATACGTGTCACCTGAGTACTCCATACGTGGTTAGTCCAAATAGAGATGTGGTATAAGTGTAAAACACGCAGCAGCTTTTGAAGACTTATAAGTAGCTGGCAACTGAAGGTCGTTGTCGGTGCGAGTTCAACACCATTTGAGTTGTTAATTGGGGCACAGTCAAGGGGGAGACTCTATTCAGTGAAAACAGCTCCACTCTTTTCTAGTGTTATGGGCTCCAGGTGTTTATGGTTCTGGCAACACAAGATTGGATGGAGACTGGAAGTCCATCCAATGGACTTCCCCCCACTTGGGGCAGAGGGGAAGCTGGCTTATATACAGAAGAGCACCTGCCCTGGCTGGCATGGCTCCGTGGGTTGGGGTGCCAGCCTGCGAACCGAAAGGTGGCTGGTTGCAGGCCAGGTCCCCAACTGGGAGCATGCTAGAGGCAACCAACTGATGTTTCTCTCCCTCTCTGTCCCCCTCCCTTCCCTTCTCTCTAAAAATATCTTCATTCCTTTCTGATTTATCATTTTTTTCTTCCTTCTGGTTCACTCCATTGAGTTGAGTCCCAGTTTTTTTTTCATCTCTATGGGTTTCCTGTGGAATTCCATTCATTTCCCTTAATTTAGCCTTCATATGTTTCTCTAATTTGTGGCTATAATCAACCAGATCTGTGAGGAAGCTGATGACCAGTGTTTTAAACTGTGCGTCTGAGAGATTTGCTATTTCTTCGTCACTTAGATTTATCTCCGGGACTTTGAGGTCCCCCTGCGACATTTTTGGTCTGTTCTGGCCCTTTAAGTGAGAGAAGCGGCGCCTTGGAGTCCCAGGTCGCTGGGTTGTGACGCTGTATGTGGGGGCGTGGTCAGAGCGGGGAAAATGGCGCCGCCACCGCCGCCGCAGCCGGTCCCACTGCTCACTCCCTCACCCGTGCGTAACCGGGCACCCACAGTCAACTCGCTGCCACCGCCTCCCCACTGACTTCTCCGTAGTTGCTCACCCGGTGGGCTGCTCACTAGGTCCAATCCTGGGTTTGGAACCCGTGGGACTGGATTCGCGCGTCTGGATTCCGCGCCCGCGCCCGGGTCCATCGAGTTCTCCTTTGTAACTCCTCACCCGCCGCCGGTTTCGCCCCTTACCGGTCGGGCCGAAGAATTTGTTGTTTGCGGACTTCCGAAAAGTTCAGTTTTCCGTGTTCTGGTTGTGTTTTCTGATGCTAATATTTAGTTGTCCTTAAACTTGGTTGTGAGAGGAGGCAAGGCCCATCCACCTCAAACCTCCATCTTGGCGGAAGTCCAATAAATACAATCTTAAAAAAAAAAAAAAAAAAAAGAACAGCGCCCAACCCCAGTCCTTGGTTCCTGGGAACGCAATCCCTGAGACTGCGTGACAAAGATGCAAATGAAGCTCTAGCTGCCCAGCCTGGATTGCTGGGGCAGGTCTTCGGCCTGCTGGCTGACTACAAGCTCCCAATCTTTACTATTTCTCCCAGGATTATTTCCTGCTGTCCCAGGCAGCAGGAAACAATCCAGGGGGCAAGTGGCTCCGTGCAGACAGCGCAAGAGGTTTAGCAAAGGCTACTAGACTCTGAAAACTTGAGCCCAGTGAGCCACTAGGAGTCCTTTTTAACTGGTGTATTCATTTTGGAGCTCAACAGCACACAAAATTTTTCTGGATGTAATATATTACTAAAATTAATTTCCCCCATCACTTCTCAGCCTTTTGGCTAAGATCAAGTGTAAAATTAATTTCCCCTGTGTTAAATGCAGCTACTTGAATAATTTACAATTACTTGTGGCTCACATTCTAGTTTGGTTAGATAGCGCCAACCTAAAAGGCAAAATAAAAGTTAGGAAAAAAAAACTGAAAGAAGAGGGCAAGCCAAGAACTGATGACATTTTCCACATGCTTCATCCTGAATTTATCAACTATATCTTAGGTTTCTTCCAGGACTGGCTTCTTCCATGACACAGGAGGCCACGAGGATGGCAGCTGCTTCAGGGGCTGAAAAGTGGCAACAATGGCCGAATGACAGAGCAATTCTCCTAAAAACTTCAGTTGTCACTCTTTTAAAATGGGGAGATTTCACCTGCAGATTTTTAGAGGGGCTCTCTAAAAATGAGAGGTTCTGACAGTACTGGTCTTCCCCAGAAACCACTGGCTGCAGCTAAAAGCAGAAACCACCTTTCGACAGGAAAGGGACTTTCAAGTTTGCCATCATGTATGCCTCGCAGTGAGGCAAAGTCCTATGGTGGAGTGAAAAAAAGTAAAATTTTTCTTGGAATTATGTCTGTACTCAAAGAAAAAACCAGAAATGTAGACCAAGAAGGTTCATCTTTGCAGAAGTGAAGAACACCCAGTGGTGTTTGCCATCACAACGAGGTAGGCCTGTTGAAGGAGCACACCTTACATCATCAGCTTTAGGCAACCTCTCCAGAAGGCATCTCACGGTCATGCCTCACCAAGTTCGTCTGAATCTGCGTTATTGGAGATGTTGGAAAGTACCACATCTCCCCTGAGCTTTGAGTTGATGTGATACATTTTTTAAAAAGATTTTTATTTATTTACTTTTTAGAGAGAGGGAAAGGAAGGGAGAAAGAGAGGGAAACATCAATGTGTGGTTGCCCACGCCCCCTACTGGGGACCTGGCTTGCAACCCAGGCATGTGCCCTGACTGGGACTGGAACCAGTGACCCTTTGGTTATAGGGCTGGGGTTCAATCCACTGAGCCACACTAGCCTGGGCTGATATAATCAGTTCTTTAAAGACATAGTTATTTAATTCCAATTTTACCTTAAATGTGTGAGAACAATTCTGAAACGTTGTGAAGTTTGTGCAGACCCGGTAAGACCTGATCCAGGCCTGAAAGGAAGAAGTAGCCCAAACAGAGGTCCTTCCCTCCCTTAACGTGCTTATCCCAGGATTTTGGCTTTCACAACACCTGTCCTGTCTCACCTGGGCAACCCTCTTACTTGGGCAGTGGTGGGGCAGAACACAGGAGTCTGTGGAAAAGTGTGCACCTGACCCAGACCCCTCTGCCTCGCCAAGGCCTTCTGGACAGTGGCCAGAGGAGACAGATGGCAGAAGATGCAGAAATGCAAAAAAGGGAGGTGGCAGGTTGGAAGGCACAAGGACAGTGCAGAGAAAGGTAGGCATCAAAAGGCAGGTTAGGACCTTGCAAAGGGTGAGGGTCTGTACTGAGGCGGCCTGTCAGGGCTACTGGGGAACCTGAGTCCACCAATGGCAAAACGCAGTCCAGAGAGAAGATGGTTTGCCCAAGGATGTCCACTTTGCAGGGTGGACACTAGCCCTTGAATCCAAGTCTCCTGATCTCAGTCCAGAGGCCTTCCTTCAGCCGGCCTGTCACAGGGAAGCCCCCCAGTGGGCCAGTGGGACGGGAGGCCTAAGACAGGAGCAGAGTCCTACGGCGTTGGACGGAAAGCTTTGCCCAAGGCTGGTAGCGCCATTGAATATCAAAGATCCTGGTAGCCAAGTCCAAACAGTCCTCGAGAGCCACCTCAAAGCTGAGATTTTCCCTCGGCAACTGTCTCCAGCTGCTTCTGGCTGGAAGGCGGCGTCGGAAATGCCTGACCAGTATTCGGATACTTCCGGAACTTCTTGAGAGGTGGCAGGAACTTTTGGAACTGTCGGAGCAGGAATCAAACCTCAAACCGCCAATATGTCGTAAAGGTCACCATTTCCTAAGAAACATTCAGGAATATCGGAACTCACTAGGGTATGGTTAGGGAACAGCGGAAAACAGCGGGGAGGCTTTCGGGGATTTCCGGAGCTTCTCGATGGAATTCGGGACTGCTCAGCTCTTGGCGATCTCTTCAGTAGTCTTGGCTCCCTAGCGATCCAGTCTTCGCCGAAATTCTCAAGGCGACTGGTACCTACTGGCCTTTGGCGATTTCCGACCGTGTACGCGATCTGCCCGAGAGGGGCGCCCCCTGGCGGCGCGAACAACCACCGCTACTCTAACCACCGCCCCCGGCGGGGTCAGCACGCGCAGACGCGGTCGCGCGCCGGCGGCCGCTCAGCGACCGGACGTGGTTGCCGCTGAGATCAGTTCCGGCGGGTGACGGTGCGGACGGGTCAGAAGCGTAGAGGCGGCGGCAAAATGGCGGCGCCGGAGGAACGGGATCTAACCCAGGAGCAGACAGAGAAGCTGCTGCAGTTTCAGGTAGCAGCGAGTGCTCGGTGCAGCAAGGGCCACCGCGGGCTGGGGAGTGGACCTCTAGAGGACCCCGAACTCTCCTGAGAGTGGGCCCGGGGTTCTTCTCAGACCATCTGGCGGCCCCTCCCCCCCAGACGCCAACTGCCCTGCTGCCCCGGAGCCTGTCTGTCCCCTGCTTTTCGGCGGTGGCTGCTGCCAGAGCCACCTCCCTCTCTTCCCTCGGCGGTTCGGCTTCCCTGGCGTCCCCATGGGTGCCAGTCTTCAGCCATGCTTCTCAGGTTGGACCCTCTCCACCCAGCGACTCTGGATGCTTAATCCCAACCATGGAGTGGGCTCATTTCAGGTCTCTGGAAAAACTACCAGCTTCCCTTGCCATTTCCATATACATTTACTCGGGGCATCTTGGATGCAAGGTCTTGTGTTGGGGGATCGGGGTGGGGGGTGCAGGCCCGGCCCCCGCCCTAAAGGTGTGGGAGGACACTACGTGAGGAAACAAATGCAACGTAAAAGTCGTCAGTGGTTTCTGGCGCGGTTTATGACCCTGGGCTGATTCCAGGACTCACGTGCTTGACCGTGCTTGTGGTGGTAACTTGCAGGAATCTCCAAGTGGGGTTAAGAACTTCGGGGATAATTAGGTGGAGGCGGCCACTAGGGTGGGTAACCTTGACTCTTTGTTGCCCTGATGGGTATCAGTTTCCTTGTTTTTAAAATATGTATTTTTTAAATGTTTACCCCCCGTAAAGATATTGTGGAGATCAAGTGACTTTATAAAATGCCCGAAGGGCTTTGTGATACATAAAATGCTCCCAAACAGTGTTGTTACTTATTATTTAACTTAAGAATTAAAGTTAGTGATACTTATTTCCTAATATGAAATGTGCTAAATGTTCATTAATGTCAGCAATTATTTACTAAGAATCTTAGTGCTCAGGCACTCCTAGTTAGAATACCATTTATTATTGAGTATGATGTAAATACTTAGCATTCATTATCACATTTAATACAACGCTGTGAAATCCATACTGTTAACAATCCCTATGTTACAGATGAGTTATGAGGCTTAAGAAGGAAGGTGCGCAGGTCGCACAGTAAGTGGTGGTGTCGCTTTTGTTCGTCTTTTCAGAACCTTCCCGGAGCCCTTGACTTGTGTGCTATACAGCTCGTGTATGCCTTTTTTATTTTAGCAAGTTCTCACTTTTCTGTAATTGCCTTGATTAGATTTCACTGTAATTAATTCTGGAGGGTTTTGTCCCTATTCAGTTGAGCAGTGGCACCTGAAACTAATAGGATCTTTTTTTTAAAAAGATTTTATTTATTTTTTAGAGAGGGGGAAGAGAAGGAGAAAGAGGGAGAGAAACATCAATGTGTGGTTGCCTCTAGACTGCCCCCTACTGGGGACCTGACCTGCAACCTAAGCTTGTGCCCTGACTGGGAATCGAACCTGCAACGCTTTGGTTTGCAGCCCATACTCAAATTACTGAGCTACACCAGCTAGGGCAAGATCTTGTGTGTTAATTATACATCAACTTGAAAAATTGAGCAGTGGGTTAGAAGTGTATAAAATGGAAAAACGCTTGAAAAATTCAGTGGTGGGTTAGAAGTGTATAAAATGGAAGTATAAAATGGAAAACGCATGAAAAATTGAGCGGTGGGTTAGAAGTAGATAAAATGGCCCTGGCTGGTGTAGCTCAGTGGATTGAGCGTGGGCCTGCGAACCACACGATCGCGGTTCGATTCCCAGTCAGGGCACATGCCTGGGTTGCAGGCCAGTTCCCAGCAGGGGACGCACAAAAGGCAACCATACATTGATGTTTCTCTCCCTCTCTCCTTCCCCCCTTCCCCTCTAAAGATAAATAAATAATAAAATATTTAAAAAAAAAGAAGTAGATAAAATGGAAGTTAGTTGACCTTTGGAGTTTTTGAGTAGCGACTTTGAGGTTAACAGCAAATCAGAATCAGAATGAATCAACAGCTTCCACTGGTAGACCACTAATTTCAGAGTTTTATTTAGACCATTGTACCCCCCACAACTCTTCAGGGTTGTCCCATGTTTATATGCAATGACGTGGTGTGGATTGTGCATCCTGCTGAACTCAGTCTGACCCTGGAAGAGCATGAATATGTGGTACATTTCTCAAGTCAAATGCTAGGAACCTCCATTCTTGTCTTCATCAGACAGCTGTATTGGTAAGAGGGGAGTGACAGATTGAAGTTGTAGTAAGATCGCTTAATGAAATTGGAACTAATAAGGCAGGCAAGTTTTACATCTGTGTGTTCTTTAAGCAGTTTCTGGGTCACGTTCATCATCTAGATGGTCATTATACATTCTTCGAAACTTACTAGGTGCCAGGCAATATGCCAGGGATTTGATGTACGTGAATTCTTTTAAACCTCTTAATTATACTGTGAGGTGCTAACCTCCATTTAATTTATTGATGGAGAAACAGGTTCTGAGAGGTCAAGGAAGTTGCACAAGTAAGTGGCCGAGATTTAGAAAGCCACACCTGTAACCATCTTGTCTATAATCTAATGGAGAGGCCAGATACCGATCTAAATGAGTGTCCCGAAGTTTTATTAGTGCTGACAGTGTGCTGTGGTATAGACCAAGTGTAGTGGGAATTCAGGGAAGGGGCTGGGAGTGGGGAAGGATGGCTCAGTAGTTACCGTGGAGTATCTGGTATGCCTTCGGCGTGATGCTAGACAGGTCACAGCCATTTTGCTTAAGCCACAGCAGTAGCCTTACAGGGAGCCCTAGGTAGTGTGCCTGCTCCGAGGTGAACAGACATGTTGAAGTGTTCGCTTTAGTTCGTTAAGCTAGTAAGGAGTGGAGGTGGAGTTGAGTTAGAAATCTAGTTGGTCAGCATCTGGACACCCAGGCTGGCCTCTTTCCACTGTACTTTGCTACTTTGGAGGAATAGGACTTTTAACAGGGGGTGGGCTGGAGGGTGATAGAAGCTCAGGGGATAGCTCAATCAAGGCATGGGGGACAGAGTGTGTTTGTTGTGGTGGCCTTAGAGAATTGGAAATGGAAGACAAGATTTGAGAGAGACATTGGAGCAGGGGCCTCCCAAAGCCTTCGAAAACTGTGCACAGCATTTTACATTTTAATCTGTAGGCACAGGAAGCCGTCAAAATTTTTCTCAGGTAGGGGGTGACATAAACGCTAGGTTTCAGGTTTGCTTCACTAACAAACATCACGGAGCATGTACTTCAAACCTCCACAGGGGTCAGGAGAGAATAGGGAGCTAGTACTGCTGGAGCTAGTTTTTTGTGTTTTTGTGGATTTTTTCCATCTTAGGTTTATCTGTACAAATAGCACAGGAGGACAGCAGCTCTGTGCAGACAGCAGCCCAGAGGTCATACCAGTCTTTATGTCTTCACTTGGGCAGACAGAGGCCTCAATCGTGGAGACTTTGTGGGGGCCTGGGTACCTCTGGGAGGCTGAGCCTGAGCTGCAGCCGTGCAACTGCAGCCTGCAACTTGATTTGAGCCTTGGCCTCGGACTTTGGCCAGCAGAGCCTGAGACCCTTGGTGATGAGGGCCAGGGGAGAGTGGTTCCCAAGCTTGGGGAGAGCGATGCAGGCAAGTTGATTGGGATCCGCAGCTGCTGCCCTTTGGGATCTGAGGCTTTATGAGGGCCTGAGAGCCTCGGCACGTGCGCTCGTGGCTTTGGTGTGGTCGGCCCGCATCTCCTGCAGGCTCTTGTGCTTCTTGGCAAAGCACATGTTCTCAGGGGCATGGGGTCTACCCCTTAAGAGATTTGTATCTTTGTGATTGGGGTTTCTGGGTGCCATTTCTGTTCCATTTTCCCCACTGGTTGTGTGTAGTGTGGTTCTTAGATGTGGTCGTATCTGCACCAAGGCCCAATGCTCCCAAAGAGCCTGGGACTGGAGCAGAAAATGAGTGGGAGCATTTGCTGTGTTGAAATCAGCAAAAGTAAAATATTTTAGAATTTCTTCTATTTTACTTTATGACATGTGATTTGATTAGAATTCCCTAGAGTATATTTATCATGCTTAGTCTGTTCTCTGCCTTTCATGATTTTTGTAGTTATCCTTTTCTCCTATTTTGGAACTGATTCAGTTTTGAATACATTTGTTTTAAGCTGTTTCAAATGAGCTAGAATAGGTTGTAGGGGTTAAGATTTTTTAAAATTTATTGATCTTTAGAGGGGAAGGGAAGGAGAGAGGGAGAGAAATATCAGTGTATGGTTGTCTCTCGTGTGCCCCCTGCTGAACTGGCCTGCAACCCAGGCGTGTGCCCTGACTGGGGGAATGGAACCGCGGTTGTTTGGTTCATAGACCTGCGCTCAATCCACTGAGCTACACCAGCCAGGGCTAGAATAGGTTTTAAGGAGAACTGATGAGGGTATGGGGGGAGGTTTCTTTTCTTGAAGTTCATTTCCCAAATTTCCAAGTACAGCAGGCTGCTCTGGAGCCTTGGTTTGCTGCCTTCAGGTTGCTGTTTAAACAGCTGGAGACGGATGGCATGACAGAGAGAAGGGACTAAGGAGCTCTGTGCGTGGCCAGTAGAGGCTTGTACAGGAGTAAGGAATTTCTTTCCTTTTTTTAAAATATTTTATTTATTTATTTTCAGAGAGAGGGGAAGGGAGGGAGAAAGAGGGAGAAAAATATCAGTGTGTGATTGCCTCTTGCGCAGCCCCTACTGGGGACCTGGCCTGGCAACCCAGGCCTGGGCCCTGACTGGGAATTGAACAGGTGACTCTTTGGTTCGAAGACCCATGCTCAATCCACTGAGCTACACCAGCCAGGGCACATTTCTTTCCCTATGAATGGATATTAGGGTCTGAGCTTTGGTCTCTTAAATTATAGAAAATTAAGCCTGAACTCCAGGCTGTAGAATCAAACTCATTTTGAAAATTTTCCCTCTTGGTTTCATCAGAGTTTTTATTACCTAAAGGAAAAAATACATGATGCTTTCTGTTCATGTATTTTTTAAAAATATTTTATTTATTTATTTTTAGAGAGAAGGGAAGGGAAGGAGAA